AAACTGATAAACTCTGAAGCACTAATCTCCATGAACCATAGTACTTGAACCATGTTATCACCTCTCGATCTACCACTGTCACACTCCCAAACCGGAACGGCGGAAACGTTCGGGGGCGGAGGACGTCATATGTAGTATCACAACACATGCATCATAGTAATCAAAGTAACAAACAACCATTGAATTAATATTAAAGTGTTAACAAAGTATGTGATTCACAAAAGGTTGACTCCAAGTAAATACCAATACAAGACATGAAGCTACTATGCTCCATCTTCTGAATCCCTGAGTGCGTACCTGTCTACTAGTTCCCTGAGAATACAAGTTATTTTGAAAGAGTAGATCAACATTTAAGCTGGTGAGTTCATAAGTATTTTAGTGTCAAAAGTATACTATAAGTTCTGTAGAAAAGTGCGCCTGTTCCTCCATAAAATCCTATATTTTCTGATGTGATGAATGATAAGTAAAAATGACTCTATAATTCCTTCTATGAGTACTAAATGGATACGAGTTATATAAAATCCAGATTAAACAGACAATCGATTGTGTGAATCTGCCCTAAGCCCACAACCAAACAAGGAACAGGAAATGAGGCAGAAGTCACACATCCCATTGTTTGTTAGATCTTCATTGTATATAACTCTGACGTATTCATTTGGTACTTACAGAGTTAACTGTAATAGTTCTTTTATATTTGATGAAAACATTCTTTAAGAAAATTATATATTTCCTTTAGTAAAAATGGTAACCATAATAGTTCCTTCTATAATCACTTAGTTTATACTAGTTATATATAATCTAACATCGAACGGACAGTTAATTGTGTGAATCTGCCCTAAGCCCACAACCAAACAAGGAACAGGAAGTAAGACGGAAAACACACATTCAACTGCCTATCAGATATTAATTATATATAAACCTGATGTATAGACTAAGGTATTATAGAATAAACCACCTTCACACCCCAAACCAGAACGGCGGAAACGTTCGGGGGCGGAGGACGTCATGCTCAGTATCATAACCATAGTGAAGAAAGTAAACACAACCATTATAAATATAATTTAAAAGGTTACATCGTTTCAAAAGTACATGTTTCCAAATAAATTACATATGATGTCAAAATATAGCAAAAGAATCTACTTCTTAGCGTCTTCACTTCAGAAATCTTGTGATTACCTGTTTTACTGATTACCTGAGAATACAAGTTGTTTTGAAAGAGTATCAACATAAAGCTGGTGAGTTCATAAGCAAATTTATGAATGAAAAATGAATGATGTTCCTTTTTGTTTGTTACAAGTTTATTTCCAGGAAATCCAATATTTTCTAAAGGGTTGTTATAGTCTTAACTGAACCAAGATTTAGTGTATGTAAGTAAATCGTCATACTCGTGTGTGTGTGGTTTTATATTTAAATAAAACTCCTTAAATCCCCGTGAACTGTGTGTTTTGTTAATTTCCGATGTGAGATGTTATAACCATACTAAACTCGAAGACCTCGTACTCGACGTTCTTCCGGCGTCGGAATGTTATGACACTTGTCACCTCAGACCTGGCGGTCTAGCTGTTGCAAGCAGATTAGGTGCGAGTTTGTCAGACCCAATATAGATCTATACACAACTATCACGCCCTCCCTCCAGGAGATTCTGATTATAACTACAGGACTTTACTGTGGTACTTACGAGTACCCCGAAGGAGAATGTCTCACAAATTTATTTATTAACAAGTTCACGTAGTGTGTAATGAAATACTTGTTTTGTAAGTCGATTGAGTTACTGTTTTCTTTGTCAAACGAAGTGCTCAAACTATACCTATTATAGTTTATCAAAAGTGTTGTGTGTTTGAATGAAACCTTGTTATGCATGTCTTCGTATTTCCATAAAACGACATTTAAAATATTAAGTGTAAATCATACACACCTTGCTCAGCATGTTACAAGGTGTGAATAACTCTTAAACATGTATTTGACAGTTTTACCCTTAACTGTCACTGTTTTAGAATATTTATAGAAAAATCATCGTAAGTCAAAAACTGAGTCCGTAAACTCTGAATATTTGGAAAAAGAGTCTACTATATCCATAAAATTTCCTATAATTTTTGGTGGTCTCAAACTAGGGTGAAAATGTTCATCTTCACAACCTGGTCTGACTTTGATGCTGCAGTGATAGGCAGTTTTGTAAAAATCACCATACATTGTAGAAAAATCGTATGGAGATGTGCAAGTAGTCATTTTAAAGGTATAAACCTGAACTATTTGCATATTAAACAGTTTTGAAAAATATTAAGTTTAAGTTGGGTAAAACAGTTCGTGAACAGGTCACAACTTTTCTGTTGTAAGCTGTCAAGTTAAGTTTCAAATATGTTTTGGTGTTTTAACTTGTATTCCCCCCCTAAAAACTAAAGAAAATGGGAAAATGTAGGGGTATGAACTCACCTTGAGTGATTTCTTGAAGAATGGAAGGTCGAAGACGAAGAGTATCAAGTCAAGAACACTTGATGATCACGTGAAAGCTTGGATGATCCTAAGAATGACTTTTGGTGTTAAATGTGTGTAGATGATTCAAGGATGTTAGGAAAACATGGAATGACACCTGAGTTTAGATGAAATACTTACCAAAAAGTGACAGAGTAGCTCAAGAACACTAGCACAAAGTGGCGGGAAGTAGAGAGAAAAGAAACTTTCTTGAGGTGGTTTGAGAAGTGTGTAAGTGAAGGATTTGATCAAAGTGAACAAAGAAATCCTCCAGGGATTTCTTTATATAGATGATGTTGGAGCAAGTGGCAAAGTTGAAAGGATGTTTGCCTTGGTTTGTGTGATATGGATAAGATTGGGCTAATGAGAGGATGACATATTGAGGCAAGTGGGCACACTTGACCCACTTGTGGGGTAGAATACTCCTCTTAATATAAAATAATGATTTTAATTAATAAATTCTTGAGAAATAAATAAAATATGAGTTTTGGGGGTTTAAAATGGTAAAAATATGAATTTGGTGAAAAAATCCCGTCAAAAACGTTAAAAACGGGCTTAGGAAGCGAAAGTAGTCGAAAACCGGGCATTATGGACCGAACCTGCGAGGTTCGGCTCTTAGAAGGTGAGAACCGAGAGGAAAGGAGAAGGAACCGAGAGGAGGGAGAAGGGACCAAAGGTGCGAGAGGAGGAACCGAAGGTGGAGGCTCGATCCGAAATTGCTATGGAACCGAAATGGACCGAGGGTTCGGCCTATTTCGGTTGTAGGGAGTTTCGGTTCTGACAGGTTTGCTTCTGACAAGTTTGGTTCTGAGAGGCTTCGGCTCTAATAGGAGGGTTCAGTTCCTAAGAGGTTCGGTTCCTAAGAGGTTCGATTCCTAAGAGGGGTTTCGGTCCTTTTTAGCTGTTTTTCAATATAACTCCCCGTTTTGAGCGGTTTTTGACCAATTTAAGGGTCGGGATGACCTGGATGTCTATAAAAGTAGAGAGAGATTTTGAGGGAGATTTGGGAGAGATTTCACATACTTGGAGAGATTTGGGAGAGATTTCACATACTTGGAGAGATTTGGGAGAGATTTCACATACTTGGAGAGATTTCACATACTTGGAGAGATTTGGGAGAGATTTCACATACATGGAGAGATTTGGGAGAGATTTCACATACTTGGAGAGTTTTGGGAGAGATTTACTTTTAGCCATTATTATCGTATAATCTCGTAATGCAAGGTTCGTGAACCCCATTATGCTTTGTTTATGATTGTTTTAAGTTCCCAAAAGGGTCCATAGTCGTGTTTTGATGCGTTTTACTCCCGTTTTAGGGTTTTTACATTGCTTAACACATAGATTCTTCGAGACACTCGAATTTTTGACATACAAATGCACATTTTTATACATAGAATAACTTTTAACATACAAGTACTAATTAAGTTTGACCGATTTGACTTGTTGACTTTGACTTGTTGACTTTGACTTTGACTTGAATTTGACAGTTGTCACATGTCCTTTAAGTTATACTGGTTTAATAATGCGTATGAAACCTTTTATAGACAAGTTTCTAGTTCACCTACTTAATGTTCTATCCGAAAAGTATGTTTTTGTACTAGAAAGCGGTATACGGAATTTGTATGTTATGACCTGATTCATACCTGTTACTCCCTATGATTACTTGGTGTACATAGGATATATATATATATATATATATATATATATATATATATATATATATATATATATATATATATATAGGCTTAGGTTATTCTATTTAAACTAATTACTGTGTTATTGTATGCATAAATGTGGGTCAATCATTTTACTTAATTTAAGAAAGTGATTAATATATATTATTAAATTAAAGATAATTGAAAAATACCATCTACTTTCATTCTAAGGGTATTTTAGACAATTGAGATAAATTTAAAAAAGGAAAATTCCATATTTTTGGGATAATTAACTCTCTTGATTTTAAAATTCAAAATTTTTTTAATTACTTTAATTTTAATTATAACGTAATTTTTTTAATTAAATCCGATTTTATTCTGTTAGAATCATATTCTCTACGAATTTCAGGATAAATATTTCTATTACAATGATATTCTATGAGAATGCCAACACCGACTAATAACACATTTTTGGATACAACTTCAAATTTTTCATTACATTCTTAAAAAAATAAAAACTTTATATAATAGTCTATGACAATGAAATACTCACTAATAACAAATAAAAAATATGTATATTATTCGACCTGAATATTCTAGCAGAATATATTATTACATATACTCCTATCATTCTATTGTAGATTATTCTATCAAAAGAATAACTCTTTCCTTGATCATCCATGAAATTAGACATTTAACGAAAATAAATGCCATGAATCAAATCATGTAAGAATAATATTCTCTGAGAATGCTTAGAATCACTTTCAAATTTACGGTCCGTTCTTCAAGCATCAACTCCTGTCAAAACAAAACCAGATTGTAGTTTAGATTCCAACAGAATTGGAATTCATGATTCCATTCCAACAGAATTGGAATTCATGATTCCATTCCAACAGAATCAGAATTATGTTCATCAACAGAATATGGCAATTTGCGAATAGGTTCACCATCTCCAATATCCACATCAAACACGTATTTACAAGTTTTTGTGGTATCAGTACAAAAGAATACGAAAAAAGTCAAAAGTAAAAAGGCTGACCATAATCATATTGTACTCCATCAAGATCTGGGCGCTTCATGTCATTGCCATCATCAGGCCCATCAATTACTTCCCCTATCTGAAATAGGAAAAAGAAAATGCTAATTAATGAGAACTCACACCTGATTGATGATTAGAATCCAAATCATTTAGTGCATTAAACATCATTTAGAATAACACCTTATCCCATGTTTGATTATGCCTATTCCATGCATATGCAACACCATTATCACCCTCACGGACAACAATTGTCTGTCCATATTTGGTACCTGATCATCACATTTGAATTAAAAAACTTTTTTCCCAAATCTTTTAAAGAACAGTTGTTCCAAGATTATTGCATTTGCAAACAAATCTCAAAGATGTTGTTGTTAAAAGAATGATATATATCTATCTCAAAGATGAATCCAAAGAGTATTATTGCAGTTAATGAGACGAAGAAAATGATAAGCTACTCGAACAGACAAAGACAACTTTGAATCCCCCAATAATTAATAACCCTAATTACCCAATTGAATATCATAGAATGCTCAAATAACAATAAAAAAAAATTTCATATGGTGTGGCCCTAATATTGATGGTACCTGGAACCTGCAAAGCTTCTAGACCAGGTAATTCCTCCAATTTCAACCCTCCAACTCGCTTCCTAACAAAAACAAAATCAAGATATGATTTAGTAGCAAAACTTTAATGATACTATCTATTAAATCTTATATTTTTGATACAAAGGGAAAAACTGGAAAGATACCTGCTGCCCTTGTAATGCGAAAGTAGAGAAGCATATCCCTCAAGTTCTTGGGTCTCAGCTATCAAATTTTTATGTGCAGTCCAAACACGTGCAACCCCATCCGATCTGCCTTCGATCCATTCTTCTTCCCCGTGATTGGACCGCCGATAACAACAATGTAATAAGGAGGGGCTCGCCAAAGATTGATGCCACCTTACCTCGCGAGCTGCTTCTGCTTATTTGTCGACGAAGATCCCGTCGATTGTCCCCATCGATCGACTGATCCCTTAGCTCGATCTAATGAGCGGTTGAAGAGGAATGGGTACATTCAGATTCAGAAACCGATTTCAATTATTGATGGGGATCGGTGGAAGTGGTGAGACGTTGTTGTAAATCGAGGTGGTGTACGTCGATGGAAGTTTTTTTATGGTGGAATAGGGTTTTTGATAGTGAACGGCCGTATATATAAGAATGAGAAGAAATTAGGTCAAAGTCAAAATAGCTAGGATAATTATAGGAAGTATTTGTGGAAGTTATTTATAAAATTACTTTATTACCCTTATTTATTTATTTAATTATTTAATTTTTTTATTTAATTTTGATTGGCCCATATTCATGCATACAATAACACAATAATTAGTTTAAACACCTGAACCTAGCTCTCTCTCTCTATATATATATATATATATATATATATATATATATATATATATATATATATATATATATATCAAGATCGAATAGATAGTAGACTGTGTGAATCTACTCTAAGCCCACAACCAAACAAGGAACAGGAAATGAAGCGGAAATCACACATCCTACTGCATGTCAGATCCTATTAATATATATTCCTAATGTATCTACCAAGGAATCATACGGTTAGCATTATAGGCCCCCTTCAAACTGTTTATTCATGTTACTAGGATAGTTATGTGGCGTAGTTCTATTGTTTAGGAAGACCACTATAAGTTAAGAAATCTCGTACTCTAAACGCCTTAGTCGACACTGTTGTGAGTTTTATATATTGTTATGTTTTATTTATTGTTGTCCGGTACTTTGTAGATGTACCATGTTTAAATAAAACCCGATACTTTGTAGATGTACCCCATATATAACCCGATACTTTGTAGATGTACCCCATATATATATCCATATACCCTGTGTATTATCATATTTTGTTTTAAACAATGAGTTAATGATACGTTCCCTTTTCCTAGGTTACTGGGAGTGTAAAGTATATGTACGTGAATCATGTATTGTTCCTCTGTTCTAGAATATAGTATGTACTGAACCCTAAACTATACCTATTATAGTTTACTAGTATGTTTGTTTGAACTGATCCTGATTTGTAGAAAAGACTCAACTAGTTATTGAGTTAAACATGTACTTTAAAAATGGAGTTTTATAAACAACAATCTAACATCTTTTTAAAAGAGTTTTTGAAGTGATTTGATAACTTACAAAAGCATAAGAAATCCTTTAATGTGATGGTTATCACAGGTAAATATTTACACAATTATCATTGTGTTCAACTTGTATCCCCCCTTAAAAGCATTTAAAAACATTTAAAAGATAGATTATAGGGGTATGAACTCACTTTATGTGCGTGATTCAACTGATGATTCGAGTAAGGATGATAAGTTCCACGAATGAAGTCTCGAGACACAAACGAGTCCTAAATGACATATAATGATACATATTGGTATGTAATTAGTGAATCTAACTATAAAGGTGATGGGGAAACAACCTAGGATGCAAGAATAACTCACCAAAGAAGTGTTAGAAGCAAGTTAAAAGGTTGAAGGAGTGTTCACGGCCCAAAGGAAGGATGGTTCACGGCTGGGCTTGAATAGTTCACGGCCCAATGGAGTTCACGGCCCAATGGAGTTCACGGCCCAAATTGATGGGTGGTTCACGGCCCAAGTTGATGTTCACGGCCCAACTTGATGAAGAGCACTTGAAGATCTTGGTGTTTTGGTGAGTGTTTGAAGATCCTAGTAAGCTTCTATGAAGTATCAAAGGAAAGGGGGTGTTTAGGAGTGAAAGATGGTGTTCTTGAACTATGATACTTGAGAGATAATGGAGTGATTGCGGCCAAGAGAAGAAGAAGTGAAGGAAAAGTGGCTAAAACTCATCTATATACTATGAGTTCACAACCTAAGAGGGGTTCACGACCATGAACATGGACCTTGCCCGTGAACCTCACATGTTGAGGTTTTATGGCTCAAATGTTGTTCTAGGCTCTTGGTTCTTACGTGGTTCACTTCCTAAAACGCAACCCTTACGTATAATAGGCTTAGAACTCATTAAAATGACCCTTAACAAGGCTAAAAGGTAATAGAAACAAGTCTGACTTTTGATTGATTGGATTGACTTTACAAAATAGAAATTTACGGGTTGTCACAGCCACGAATCATGGTACCCAAACCATGTTATCACCTCTCAATCTGCCACGAATCATGGTACCCGAACCATGTTATCACCTCTCAATCTGCCACGAATCATGGTACCCGAACCATGTTATCACCTCTCAATCTCTCACGAATCATGGTACCCGAACCATGTTATCACCTCTCAATCTGCCACGAATCATGGTACCCGAACCATGTTATCACCTCTCAATCTGTCACGAATCATGGTACTCAAACCATGTTATCACCTCTCAATCTGCCACGAATCATGGTACCCGAACCATGTTATCACCTCTCAATTCGCTACTTAGAACCTCTGGAATTCTCCCTGTTTCGAGTACAGGTCCTCTGCTTTCAGTAGTACGGGCCCATACTACCTGCCACATCTACCCATACTTTCCACACGGATCGTCCCATATTTCCTAAGTAGCAGCTCAACCATTCTCGATCACCAATCCCGATATACTCGGTCGCTACCCAGCGAATACTCTCCTCTATCAGCATACTCTTCTGACTACAGATACTCCCTAGCCTCTTCCTAGGTTCTCACACTTCTCTGCTATCAGCTGCTGAAGAACTCCTTATGATGCTAACCATCTACCTCCTGAATATCGTCATATTCACTTAGTATCTGACTCCCATCATGAAGAGTTCCACAAAGCACAGAGCAAGCAGCATTCGGGCATCGAATAATCTCCACCAACACGTAAAGCCACTCTAGGTTACAACTCTATTTACTCTACTTCCTCTCAAAAGGCATCACTGAACTCAGGCTACCTCGCCTCTTGTTTCAGAAAATCTTTTCTTTTGAAAACTTTTCTCAAATCCTCAGTTTGAGTCCAGACACACCCGAAGGTGCATCCGAATCTCTCAAACCAAGGCTCTGATACCAACCTGTAACACTGTAATATTTAAAACCAATTTTTCATTTCAAAACACAAATAAACATATCTCACATTTCCTCAAAATCACTAGTAACAAATTATCAACACATTTTTATTTAAAATTGTTTATCACAAATCCAGGATCCTCCAAACATAACTCTTTCTCTCGTGTGTACAATCGATCCGTCACCTTCCCGATATCATGAAAAGTACCTGAAACACATATCACATAACACGGTAAGCACGAAGCTTAGTGAGTTCCCCAAAATACCACACACATCTCAGTACCCTCTTATGGCTATACTCAGATAAGACCCTCCGGTCAATGTGTCTCAGTGGGACCCTCCAGTCCCATAACTCGGGTGGACCCTCCGGTCCTAACTCAGGAAGCTCATAATAATAATACTCAGCATAAATCACAAAGACACAATGCAAAATATCATAATACACAGATAAGCACATAAGACATCTCAGTCGCACAAAGATACCACACATGGTAAGTATAGTGAGAAGACTCACCTCGAAAGCTAACAAGTAATAATCTCGCACACGGAAATCTCGAACTAGCCTCCGCCTATCACATAGGATAAATATCTCTAATGAATACTCTATTCATACTCAATACCAAAAAGGTTTCCCTATCTTTCTCTTTCTAACTCTTGGATTGGGTAAAAGACCATTTTACCCCTCCATATTCTCCATTACTCATGTATGACCAAACCCTAAAGTCAACAGAAGTCAAACTCGAGTCAACAGTCCATGTTTGACCCGAATCGCCGAGTGCATCTATGTGACTCGTCGAGTCCCCTTGTTTCTTCTATCATATCGTGAAAATCCACCTTGACTCGTCGAGTTGTCTCGCCAACTCGCCGAGTTGTCTCGCCAACTCGCCGAGTCACCCATGTCCAGACTCATCGGGGAAAAAACCCCAGCCGACTCGTCGAGCCAGCTCATAGACTCGGCGAGTCCCTTCAATCTGATTTCTCATTCAGACGATTCAAGGCAACTCTACTACTCCAAACACTAGATGTAGCACCCCAAGACTCCATTGTCACGTAAAGCTTCAATCTTTACGTTCATGCATGGTAGTTTTGCTCCAACATACCAAAACATGCTCTCACAATGTGTTAAGCACAATATCCTTCATATGGGTGAATAAAGTTGGGACCTTTGGACTCTAGGGACCTCACAAGGTCCAGATCTGAGGTCTAAACCTCAAGACAACTCTGTAAGCTCGAAATCCCAAATAAAGATGGCATAAACCCTAATCTTCCAAAATCAAGAGATCTAACCATAAGAATGATAAAGGTATGAACTTTTCACCTTTTACAGAAGCTCTTGGATGACAAGCAACAGAACTAACAGCCTCTTCTCGTTCCTTGCTTGAATTCCTTCTCTTCCCCTCCAAAGATGCACCAAAATACTCAATATAAGCTCAACATTCTCTCTTTTAGCTCAAAAAGGCGACTAGGGTTTCTCTCAGTGAAGTTGGTCATCTCATGAGCCGCAAATGAGGCTATAAGTTCCCTTATATAGGCCCCAAACCCAGGGATTTAGGGTTTCAATACACAGCACCTACTCGGCGAGTCGGCTCTCCGACTCGTCGAGTCCGCTCATTAAACCCATGCAGTCAACTCGACTCTACTCGACGAGTTGGAATCACAACTCGTCGAGTCACTCAATAAACCCCAAAATAAACACACCATTAATATACCTAGGATTCCGGATGTTACATATTAAAGAAGAATCAATCGGAACAACATGAACCGATATGTATACTTGATTCAACGACTAAGACTAATGATAAAATTGAGAAACCATGCATTGTGCTAGTGAATGATATACGTCAAACAAGAAATAAAAGTTGGCCTTGAATGAATAGTAACAGATTAAAACATTTAGGCTTGGGCTTTCAAATGAATTTATAAATGATTTATTTTGTTTTCAGGCCAGATTAATAACAAATTGGTCTGAAATAGGGGCTAAAATGATATTGAGGCCCATTTTCTACATTGGTGACCTACTCGCCATTT